GTCCCAAGGAGGGGAAGAGCCCCAGATGCAGAAGGAAGAGATGGAAGGGGGGGCGCGTTTCTAGTGCAGATGGGTGGTCCTGGGGTGTGTCCTAAGGGAGCAGGGTGTGTCTGGAATCTTTCCCAGTTTGAGGGTTGGGGACCTGGGCCAGGTCAGGCAAGAGAGGGCAGGATGGGGGGTGAGGGGTGTCTTCCCGAGATGAGGATCCCACGTGGCATAGCAGGGCTGGCAGGGGGTCCTAGGCAGGTCGGAACAAGGCTCCAGGCCTCCGGGAATTGGGCCATCGGAGGGTGAGGCCGAGCATGGGTGCTGCCTGGAGAGGACTGGGAGCGCCTGGAGTCGGGATCAGGTACCACCCACAGGGTGAGACCTGGGTCTTTCCGGGGGTGAAGTGTCAGAAAAAGGGGCCAGGAGCTAGGGCAGCAGACAAAAGGGGAGGGTACCCAACGGACCGGACCCGGTCTAGACCTCCAAGTAAAAGGGGTGGGCTGTCCTGGGCGGGATCGGGGAAGAGGTTGCAAGTCTGGGGGGGTGGATCCGGCCGCTGGTCAAGAGTCGGGGGTCGGGGCCACGGTCACCTGAGCAACATGACGAACCCGAGGAGACGGCGGAAGGCGGGCGGGAAGAGCCGCGAGGAGGCGACTGCCATCTTGACCAAGGGCGCGGGCAAGAGCCGGTCGCGCACGTAGATGAGCGGATTGGGTTTCGGCTCTAGGACGTGCTCGGACGGTGAAACTAGTCAATAGATGAGGGATTTACGCGATCAAAGACACCTGAAGTAAGCGCAGCAGTACGAGATGTTGTATGATTTGGCGCTGTAAGAAGCCAGGTCAAATGGAAGCGTAAAGTATATTGCTCTAACTGTAAAAGGAATTTAACTTCCGCCTTTAAATGCTTAGCCACTCAAGGACCCCAAGTCAGTGCTCACTTTGCAAATCTTTGCGGGTTCCACCCGACGCCACCTGACGCCTCATGACCGTGGCCAGCTTGGCCAGGCCCATAGCGCACGTGGGCCCCATTTGGCGTCATAGGGTGTCGTGGTGCCCCGCCTCTGCCCTCAAAGCTTGATTTGGCGTTAGGGCGGCTATGCCAGGTACCAGGGGTGCCAGGTTCGGAACCAGCAACTCGCCGGCTGGGGACGGCCACTCTGAACCCCGGCGCGAGGGGAGAGTGGTTTGCTGAGCCGCGATTTTCTTCTCATCTTTAGGTTTTTGCCATCCCTCCCAGCTATGCCACGCACTTCCACTCCTTCCACAGCCCCCACACGCTCCAACATTCTAGGCAGGCGCTGGCTGCATGGAGCCCACAGGCAGGAGCGGAGACAGGGGCCATGGGGCCAGGACCCTCAGCAGCCGCCCTGAAGGACAATGGACACCTCCGTCTGCTGGAAATGGCTCTAGGGAAATGAGCACACAATGCCCAGGGCCCGTGCCAGTGCTGGTCACACAGGCAGGGTCCCTGCCCTCACAGAACTTGGGCACCAGCATGGACACAGGCAAACACTCAAGGGGGCGTCTGCTCTGCTTCCTGACGTTGAGCGCCCAGCCTCAGGGAGGCACATGGGGCCTCAGACAAAGGCCAGGACATGGCAGCTTGTGGGGTGGCTGTTCTCAATGAATCCTGTGCTAAGGGAGGGAGGAGACTTCAGCTGGCGCCCACAGGCTGAGGAAAGCCTTCCACACCTACCTGTTGGGTGTCATAATCCTGGGAGCCCGACAGCCTGAGTGGGCACACAGACCCATACCTCCGCTCCCACAACCAGGAGGCTAAAGTCCTCTTCCTGTGCTCTGCATGGTGCCTGCATTCAGTAGATGCTCAAAAATGCACTCTCTTTGCCAGAACCGGTTTGGCTCAGTGGATAGAGCGAAGAGTCCCGGGTTCGATTCCGGTCAGGGGCATGTACCTTGGTTGCGGGCACAACCCCGGTGGGGGGCATGCAGGAGGCAGCTGATCAATGTTTCTCTCTCATTGATGTTTCTGGCTCTCTATCCCTCTCCCTTCCTCTCTGTAAAAAATCAATAAAATATATTTTTAAAAAATGCACTCTCTTGAAATTATTATGGATCAC